ATGCAAAGATAATGCTCACTCCAATTGCTAAGAGTTAAACAAAGATAAAGTTTGCTACATCTGATACCAAGAGAGAACATGATCAAGCAGCAGAGGCCAAAACCCCGAAGTTCAATGGGAGAACGTGCATGTTGCACCAGTACCTCCTTCTCGAATGTTGAGGACAAAAAGTTCTGCATCACAGAGAGACATGTCCCTGCAAGTCCATACTTCTGTCAATACTATTTTCAAGGAGGGTTCAATGTCCCATCAGCCTGCCTCTGGAACTCTATGAACTGAATAAAGTGCACACCCACGTGCTGGCATGGGGGCAAGGAGGTTCTGCCATAAAAACACAGCCTAAACAGCTACTGCATATATTAGATAAGGGATGAGCAACTGCAGCAGTCCTCCCGTGTTCTTGGTTTACAGCTGCTGATGGTGCGGGATTATGGGATCTTTAGTCCAAAACCCACTGAAAGGCATTAGTTGCCTCTTCCTTGTATTAGAGAGACATTCTGCATATCTACAATAGAGAAAATAGTCCTGGAAATGCGAAAGGGACAACACACATCTCCAGATGTATAGTGGGACATGTACAAGGAACTGTAGCTAAGCAAATATGGCCCTCTATGCCTATGCAATGGTTGCCAACCTTGGGTCCTCATATGTTCTTGGACTACAACTTGCAGAAGCTTTCACCACCAGCATTGCAGGCCTGGATTTCTGGGAGCGGCAGTCCAAGAATGTCTTGGGACCCAAGGTTGGGAACCACTGGAGGAAGCTAGTATAGGTAGGATCTTCTAGGTCTGAGGTTGTGAATTGTAGCTAATTTTACAAGCATGTGTGTGTTAGGAAAGGGACTGATTATTACAAACATGGCATGGAAGTATGTGGGTGTTCATCATGACACGTATTCCATGTAGTGCCCCCACATGTCAAGACATGTGTGTACTATCATGTATCTCCCCCACTCTGTTCCTCATTCTCATTCTTTTTCTTCAAACACATGCGTGCGTGCGTGTGTCCAAGGTTGGGAACCAGTATAGGTAGGATCTTCTAGGTCTGAGGTTGTGAATTGTAGCTAATTTTACAAGCATGTGTGTGTTAGGAAAGGGACTGATTATTACAAACATGGCATGGAAGTATGTGGGTGTTCATCATGACACGTATTCCATGTAGTGCCCCCACATGTCAAGACATGTGTGTACTATCATGTATCTCCCCCACTCTGTTCCTCATTCTCATTCTTTTTCTTCAAACACGTGCGTGTGTGTGTGTATGCGTGCGTGTGTGTGTGTGTGTTGATAGAAGCAGAGCAAACAAGCCGGAAACACCTGCAAATTGAAGGTAAATTTGGATGGAAGTGTCAGATATAAGGTAGCAGAAAAGATAGAAGTGTGCATAAGATAACGAGCAAAATGAAAGAGAAATTTCACAGTCCTAAAATAGACAAAGGAATCTAGTTCAATGAAACAATAAAACCTGGCTCTGGGGCTGTGTGTGTGTGTGAACTGCCTGATTGAAAAGGGAATTAGGGAAATGAGAAGAAACGGCTGCCCAGCACTGCACAACCCAGCTCTCCATCCCGGGGACTACAAGGCTGCATCTCAGATCCTCTGTTGCTTGGTAAGCCCTGCTGGGGTCCACTAACACCTGCTCTTCCCCAAAATACTGGGCATACTGCCTCCCAAGCATGTGCCAAGGAGGATGGAGTGGTGTACAACACGTTCCCTCAGTTACTGCCAGACCAAATCCTATCCATGCAATATATCAAGCCAGGATTTCTGACCCTGATGTGCATCACTTTAAAGGTAAAGGTAAAGGTTCCCCTTGACAATTTTTGTCCAGTCGTGTTCGACTCTAGGGGGCGGTGCTCATCCCCGTTTCCAAGCCATAGAGCCAGCGTTTTTTGTCCGAAGACAATCTTCTGTGGTCACATGGCCAGTGCGACTTAGACACGGAACGCTGTTACCTTCCCACCAAAGTGGTCCCTATTTATCTACTTGCATTTGCATGCTTTCGAACCGCTAGGTTGGCGGGAGCTGGGACAAGCGACGGGAGCTCACTCCGTTGCGTGGATTCGATCTTATGACTGCTGGTCTTCTGACCCTGCAGCACAGGCTTCGGCAGTTTAGCCCCCAGCGCCACCACGTCCCTGTGCATCACTTTACCCTGACTTAAATCTTCTTTGCCATTTTAACGTCCATTCCCCTACTTTAGAGAAATCCTTTCGGGGTTCTTCCTTAAAATTTGGTAATCAGCTAACTTAGAGACACTCACTCCTCATTTTTAACCCCACACACTTGCAAAAGTGTATGGGGTTGGAGGGCTGGAAAAGGTGGAGGTCACATGTTATACAAATATTTTATCATCATTGCCAGGGCAGGCATGACATTTGAAGTATTACACCTGGTGCTGGTCAAGGAAGAGAGCACTACCGTATCTCTCGCCATGGGGCCCAGCAGTTTCCTTTTCAGAGTAGTGGAGGTGGTTCTGTATGTGGCGCTGGCGACCTCGCAAGCTTTGATGCTGAAAAATCTCAAGGTTCACGTTGTGGTGCTCTCAGATGGGCAACCTTCCTTGTCATCCTGACAACCACAGGGTTATCTGAGTAGAGTAAAAGATCTGATGCAACTCATGCCTTGAGTTTAGTCTTTACTACTGCCTGGGAAGGAGAGGTTCTGGTATTGGAAAGCATCCGTGCTGGTTTTCATTTAATTCCAGGTGCTTTCCTGGTAAGATTTGAACTTGCTCTGACTGTTCTTATCTGCAAGAGCAATGGGGACCATTAAGATGGCCGACTTCCAGAGATTTGTTGAAACTGAGGGATTCTTGAGTGTTCTGTGGGATGTTCTACTTGGTGGCCCTCTGAGGCCCTGTTCTCACGATGAAAAGGTGAGACAGAGAGATATGCCAACACAGACACTTTCAAGTACCCTTTCCTGCAAGGTACTGCCTGGTCAGCTATCCGGAGAAACTAGCAATAAGCAATGAAGCAAAGAGAACCATAGCTTGATAGCAAACAGTTCCAAGTCTTTTAAAGGGGGGTGGGTAATCTATCACTGGGGAGAAGCATATTATCATGCCTACCACCTGGCAGTAATGACAGCAAAGAAAGCGTACTTTGTTGCTGTTGCTGCAGCCTCCAGCAGAGCTATTCTAAGTCATGAAAGGGCTGTTAAATTCAGACTCGGTTGATGAAATAGCAGAGCTCTTGCAAGCCTGCGCTCGTGGATATGCGAGGCGTTTTGAAAACAAGGTTGTGCACATTCATTTGCAGGTAACACTGCTGCTGGGGCAAATCTGATAGAGCTGTCCAGGGCACCATCCAGTCGAGTGCAGGGGAACAGTTCCAGCTGTGGTGGGCCTGCACGTATCTGAATCTTGATCATAATGAGTTGTGCCAACCAGGATCAGGACATGGGGACCGAGTGGGTGTCAACCTGGGTTTAATGATGGCTGGAGGAGTACTGGAGTAATAAGCATCAATTGTTCCCTGCCCCCTTTAAAAACAAAGGGTGAGTGGGTGAATTCTCAGATTGAAAAACAGATACCGGGGGAAGGTCTCTATCTACTCCACCCACACACACTGGTGCCAATTTGGATCTAGCTCAAGTATGCTTGTTTTTGTGTTTTTAAAAGTGCATGATATATATTCACCATATTGTGTAGTTTGACTCCAAAATGTTTTCTGTTTTTACTCTGGCACTTCTAAGTGTGTGGCAGCTGGTAAAACACATTCTCATGCTAAAGGTTTTACTAATGATTGTTGTAATGGCACACTTATTTCTTGTATTTTGATATGCTGTGTTTGTTTTAGCACCACATGATGCTATCTTTTAGCGTTCACCCTTTTTTTGAATGTTCTACTCAGGTGCAGGAATTTAGAAAAGTCCTTTGAGAGTGTGGAGCTCCCAGTAATCTCCAGCTAGCATGGTCTGTGGCCATCCTGGCAGAGGGGTTTATGAAGCTATAGTCCAAAAATGTAAGTTTTCTAAGCTCTGATGCATATTCAAGTAGAAATACTCTGATTTCCCCCCTCAAAAAACAGGTCTTGCCTTTATAACAGAGGTGGAAAAGGTCAGTCCAAAGGCTAAATGCAGTACAAAAATAATTGGGGGTGGGGGAGTTGGCCCCTCTCAAACACCCCCAATCTCCCCTGCTGGAAAAAATGAGGTGGGGGATGGCTGTTTCTTCAGGAGCAGCCCTAAAACAAATCCCAGTCCCCTTCCACCTTGTTTTGACACCCAGCCCCCAAAAGACATAAACAGATGTGAGCCTCTTCCAGCTACTTCCATTTTAAAATTTTCTCACAGGCGATGTTTTGCTTTTGGGGTTGGCACAGCTTGCGGTGGGTCCTGAGAGTGGAAAACTGGTCCAGGCACCTGTTCTAATAATTAGTTCACCCCTGCTTTTTAAAAATGATCATTAAGAGAAAGAATTTTATATGAGCCATCTTGCCGGGAGAAAGCCACACTTGTTTTGACACAGTTATTAAAATTACAAAAGCCATATGGGACAAGAACCCTTGTCCTAAAGCAGTGGTTCCTAACCTTGGTTAACTTAGGTGTTTTTGGACTGCAACTCCCAGAAGCCTTCACCACCAGCTGTGCTGCCTGGGGTTTCTGGGAGTTGCAGTTCAAAAACACCTGAGTAACCCAAGGTTAAGAACCACTGTCCTGAAGGAAACTGGACCCATAGTTAGCTCCACAGTCCTTTTCCAATACGGACCTGATGGCTTTCTTTGCACATGTAAGCTGATCGATGAGTGCCTCTGAACATGTGCAGAGTATCATCCCTCCCTGAGCACTAGCTTGCCAGAAAGGGTCTCCCAATGCCAATTTGGCTCAAAGCACAAGGGAGTGTGTGGCTCCCACCTCCACAACACCTCTTTTGTAAAATCCTAATTCTTGCCTGCAGCATTCCTCTATACACAAACCTGTGGTTTCTCAACATGCGCCCTCTAATTGTGAGGAGAGAACCAACCCCAGCTAAGAAAACGTTAAGAAGGTTCTTACCTAAGCATTGCAGCCCTTGCTTTCCAATTCCCCTGCAAGGAAGAAAGAAAGAAAGAAAAAAGAAAAAGAAAAGAAACAGGTTGTTAGCGCCCATAAAGCGTAGGATGCCAGTTTAAAGAGCACTGAGCTAGCAAATGTCTTAAACATGATCTTAACAAACACATTTGTGTGCTAAGAGAGAGAAGTTGGAGATAAGCCACATTTCTTAAAACCTCTGGTAAGGGAGTCAAAGCTAGTGGCTAGAGAGCCTGGAATGCATGCTAAATGGGGTAGCTAGTGGCTAGAGAGCCTGGAATGCATGTGAAATTCAGAAAGGCTAAATGGGGGTATGGATGGGATCTGTTGTATTACATCCATTGCCAAATCAATTGTGGATTAACTAATCATGAATAACACACACATCCCAAATTCCACACTGAATAATCATTAATGTAGGTTAGATACCCCATCAGTAAGAGATGAGACAACCCCCACTTTTTGATTACAATTGTGATCACAGAAGGGTGATTAACAGGACAATCCAGTTGACAGAGACGTATATCCCATTGTGTTAAGTGAGGCATACTCCCAGGAAGGTAACAACAAAAATGGGAGAATAAAGCTGTCAGTGGCTACATGTTATCTCTAGGATAAGAAGCAGCACACCTCTGTGTACCAGCTTCTGGAGAACAGGAGAGTGCTATTCAGTTCATTCCTGCCACTGAGGTGTGGTTAGGGAACTTTCTAGAAACAGAATGCTGAACCAAGTAAAATTTTGGTGGGACCCAGCATGGCTTTTCTTATGTTCCTCTTAAGTTGGAAGGGGCTCGTAAGGCCATCGAGTCCAACCCTCTGCTCAGTGCAGGAATCCAAGTCAAAGGTAATCTGAAAGATGGTTGTCCAATTTTCTCTTGAATGCCCCCAGGGTTGGAGCACTCACTGCCTCCCAAAGTCATTGGTTCCATCGTTGTACTGCTCTAACAGTGATGAACTTCTTCCTGATATTCAGCCTAAATCTGGTTTCCTGTAGCTTGAGCCCATTATTACATGTCCAGCACTCTGGGATGATTGAGAACAGATCCTGCCCCTCCTCTGTATGACTACCTTTCAAAAATTTGAAAAATGTTACCATATCTTGCCCCTAGTCTTCTTTTCTCAAGGATAAACATGCCCAGTTCTTTTAGTCTTTCATCATACAGCTTGATTTCCAGGCCCCTGATCATTCTTGTTGCCCTCCTCTGAACTTGTTCCAGTTTCTTGGCATCCTCCTTAAAGTGCGGTGGCCAGAACTGGACACAGATGAGGCCTAACCAGTGCTGAATAAAGAGGGACTAGTATCTCATGGGATTTGGAGACTATATTTCTATTAATGCATCCTAAAATAACATTTGCCTTTTTTGCAGCCACATCACACTATTGGCTCAGATTCAGCTTTTGATCTACAACAATTTCAAGATCCTTCTCACTCGTAGTATTGCTGAGCCAAGTATCACCCATCTTGCAATTGTGCATTTGTGGGTTTTTTTCCCCACTAAGTGTAGAACTTTGCACTTATCCCTGTTAAATTTCATTCTGGATTTTTTTTTTTTTTTGGCTTTCAAATTAGATATGCATGTCAGTTAACTTCACCCCCTCCCCGCCTCGTCATCATCTCTGGCAACTGACAGACAGTTTCTAAGTATTCCTCTGGGCCTTAACAGACGCTGGTAAAGTTGGTGGTACTTATTCTTTTAGGCAGAAGAAAACAGTTATCGCTGTACTTTTCGTTGCTGTCTCAGAATACTGATAGTGGCGGCGGTTGGGTTTAAGGTTTGGTGGTTGGGTTTAACTAGAAATGCACAGAAAGAATAAACTAGTCAAATATGTGGCCACAGGAGCACTTCAGAACACTGGAGTAAGGGTGGGGGCCACGAATGCTGACAGTGTGAGCCACAAATATCTCTCCATTCTGCCAAAGGGACATTGTGCCTTCTGCAGGATTTTAGATCATAGGACCTCCTGCAGGAGTGAGACAATAGAGTCCGCTAAGAAGCATCGTGTAAATATAATTGAAAAAAAATTAAGAAGAAATGTTTTGGGCAAGAGTTAGAATTCTGATTTCAGAACGCTAGGTTCTCAGCAGGGCCAGAGTCTTTTTGGTGTGGAGCCAGGGCAACTGGCTAAAAGCTTCTGCCCGGAGAGGTAGAAAAAGGTACATCCAGCCTTATGCTGGGCTCCTTCGCATATGGTTTACCTTCACGGTACCTCTTTGCTCACTGGAGAATCATGAATGCGTGAGTGTTTGTAGAGGATTATAAGCAAAGTGTGATTGTCCAGACTCTACTGGATAGGAAGTTCCAGCTTTCCTTCGCCCTTAGTGACACTGCATAAATAAGATTGTGGGATGATGCAGTCTAGTAGCATCTGGCTGGCTACACTTTGCCTACTGGTCATAAGGGGCACCATTAGGACACCTTCACCCTAGGCCTCATAAACCCTCTGCATGATCCTGGTTCTGGCCAAGCAGGAAGAAAAGAACTCTGGCCGATGTACAGTCAGCGCTGTTTTCGTTTGCTTCTCCTGACATTGATCCTGTGTCTTTACAAGCTGTGTAACATGCTGCAGTTTCAAGAAACACAGATTTCCCCATCAGTGCCTTCTAGAGAAAATTGTCTCTGATGAACTGAAATATATGCTACCTTCAAGATCTGAGGCATCACGTCTCTAAATACCAGTTGCTGGGGAACAAGAGCAGGAGAAGAATATTCAGAGCTGCTTAAAGTTACTTTTAGAAGTCAGGCAGGCAGTTATTGTGTAACTTGTTTGAAGGCAACAACAAGTAATACTGGTACAGTACAGTACTTTTTGAGAAGAGGGCTTGTTATGTGGCTCATTAATAAAGCATAAAGCAAAGCATACTGCTTATATACTGCTCCGTAGCGCTTCAAGCACACTCTGGGCGGTTTACAAGTTAATTATGCCGGCTACACATTGCCCCCACCCCCCGCGAGCTGGGTATTTTAAAGACTTCAGAAGGATAGAAGGCTGAGTTAACCTTGAGCCAGCAACCTAGGATTGGACCCTGGGTTGTGAGCACAGTTTTGGCTGCAATACAGCAGCTTAAACACTGCACCATGAGGCTTCTTTCATTAACTTTTTTTAAAAGAACCATAGAAGTAATAAAACATGAAAAAATAAAAAACATCCACTGTATCAGTGGTATTATCATTATCATCATCATCAACAACAACAACAACAACATCTGCTAAAGAATCATTGCACTAGTGATCATTGCACTGGATCACTTAGATTAACTTTAAAAATATTGTTCTTTGCTTTCTCTGTAGTGCTAAATGAGAAACTGCCCAGAGCTGCGATTTTGATAGGCACTTCCTCACACAAATGCAAAGAAAACAATAGTTGTTCCTTTTATCTCTTGACTCCCTACTTTAGCATCCCAGTGAGATAATGAGAAGAACATCTTTCTTGGGTGTCAGTTCTAGAAGGTGTTGCAAGTCTTCATAGAATTGGTCAATTTCAGCCTCTTCAGCATCGGTGGTTGGTGTATAAACTTGGATTACTGTGATGTTGAAAGGTCTGCCTTGGATTCGTATTGAAATCATTCTCTCATTGTTGAGATTGTGTCCCAGTACAGTATAGCTTTTCCCACTCTTTTGCTGACTATGAAGGCTATGCCATTTCTTCTATGGGATTCTTGTCCACAATAGTAGATATGATAATTGTTATATTGTATACTTACTAGTATCAAACCCCACATACTTTTCCTTTAACTATAGGCTGCCTATCGTTATTATACTTAGGCCACTCCAACTCAAAAAATTTTAGCAAAAAAACTGGTGAAGTTCACCCCATGTAACTCTAAAAGGGGTCTTTTCTCCTAGTTCAGTAGTGGAGGGGATCAGTTTATATTTAACTCTGTTTCAATCAGAAAGGGTTGTTGAAATCAGTAGTGGCTGGTCAGTCCAGTTTCAGAGATGCTATGACTCCACTCTGATTCTTAATCTGCAGTTAACTGAAGCTATCAAAGGTGTCAAAAATCATATTCCTCAAATATGTTTAGCACTTTAAATAACTCCTTGAAAGGGCAGATTAAAACCCAGAATGGATTCAGGGCACCTCTGAAACTGGAGCTATCATCAGCCGCCACTGGCTGAACTATATGTTATATTAATGACACAAGAAGAGTTCTCAAAGACATGCATCTGGCAAGGAGTGTTCCTGTCTCAGTTCTGAGTGAGTGAACAGAATAAGAAGAAGAAAAAGATCTTGTAGAGGTATTTTAAGTAAATGAGGGTAAAGGAAGAAAAACGGGACTCATTTCTTCAGAGCTGGAAAAAAAAACCAGAGGGTGGGAATATTGTGAAGACATAGACTTCCTACCTGAAAGGGGGGAAATGGTTGATTTCTCATATTCTGAGTGAAATCTCTCTCTCTCTCTCTCTCTCTCTCACCTCTTCAGCTTATACAGTACTGTAGCTTAAAAGTTTCCACATTCCCTCATGTTCTGGGACTGCATCAAAGCTGCACTACATCTTTACAGTTTTTAGAATGTAAGGACAAAGACAGAACAGGGGGCTGCTAGGAAGAATGCTGAGATATAGCCCAGAACTATAGACTTTGAATTCTATGAAAAGAATAAAAGAGCAGGAAGCAAATACTACCCCTCAGGTGAGGTTGCCACCTTCTTTTTTCATGTTAGAGCCTCTTTGTCTTTCACAGGCAGCTGTTTCAGGATAGGCAGCTGCTGGCAGCTGCTGCTTTCCCTGCCATAGGAGAAGCAGTGAGGAAGAAACCTCGAAATCATTTAATGGGGATTAATAAGGCTGAAGGCAGTTCCCCCCATCGGGTTCCATATTTGCAGTTCCTAATATCAATCTGTTTGATTCAAAGGTGGAAATGGTGCCTGAATAAGGACTTGGTATTAAAGATAGCTATGCCCCCAAACAAGATTTGGACTACTTTAAGAAACAAAAGTGAGGGCATCTGAAAGTGAAGAAGCAAGCCTGTCTTTGAGATTTTAATGGGCTAACAAAGATAAAGCTCAGACAGAGGC